CGCCATGTGGTCACCTCCGGGGCAGACAGGAATCGAACTCATGTGGAAGCGGCTTTAGATTCTCAGTGCTATGCTTTAACCCGCTGCGCCACCAGGGAGGGCCACCACTAAAAGTTTTTGAGGCTTAAAGTTATCACTGTAAGGCAGAATTTATAATTTTTCTTATGCATCAAGATGTGAATCACAAATTCTGTGTCCTACCCATTTATTACTTGGTTTTAAAAAAATAATCTGATTTTAATTTTCATTTGGGTTAATATTCCTCATGTGATTTAGCCCTCTGAGGAAGATAATAACAGTAATGTCACATGGGTAGCATAAAATTGTCTTATTTTTTACTCAAAATTTTACTGGAAAATTTTGTACATATTCTTTTCTATTCTTCTCATGCCATGTTTATAGTTTCTTAATTTTACATTTCTCTGTGTTTCTGACACACTAAAAATTTATAATTTTTTTAAATGAAAACATTAGCAATCAGGCATTTTCTATTCTTTGCTGAGTGTGTTTCCTATAGAAACTTAATGTTTTGTCTTTTATTCCTACTGTTCATTCCACGCTTCCCAATGAATACAAATAGGTAGGAACTACAAGGAGTTAACAGCTTGCCACATATGCTAGAATTTCCTGCTAAAATTTTCAAATAATTCCTTTGGACTTGTCAAATCTGCCTTTGGCATATTTAGTTGGTATTGTGCTTAAGTATTACCAGATGTTTCACAGTTTTGTCTTCTGATATCATTTGCTGTTGGAATTTACCCAGGGTGCCCAAGGCCCACAGGGACCAGTGGGCCCGCCAGGACTCAAAGGCGATGGCTATCCTGGTGTGGCTGTAAGTGTGGACATGGCTTTTATTTAATTCCTTCTTCACTCCCTCTCTCCTTCACTCCCCCCCCCTTCCTCTTCTCTCTCAACCCTACCCCCCCAAGCCCTGCACTCAACAAGGACACTCAGAACACTTATTCTCCCTGTTCTGTCATCTCAGGGACTTCGAGGATTACCAGGACCCCCCGGACCAATGGGTTTACGTGGTGTTGGGGACACTGGAGCAAAGGTAAGATTTTAAAGTCAGGTAACATGATAGCTTCTAAAAAGCACCTTTAGGTAAGTAATTTTAGTAAAGGTGAATTTTCTATCAGATATGATAGAAGAACAGAGGTGAATAGAATTGATAATTATTTATCCTTATCTGTGGACTTCCTGGGACCCACAATGACTTACTGAATAGACTGACTTAATGGTTTTTTCTACTCCTTTCTTGGTAGCTGCTCTAACTTTCCTTTGCTGCTCTGTCCAACTTTCAAGGTCAGAATTCAGTTTGGAGCCCTCCTGTCTCTCCTAAACATGCTCTCTCCCAGGCACTCACATCGAGCCCCATGATCTTAACCATCATCCATGTATTGGTTTCCTTCCTCTGAGTGCTGGTCTCACATTTCAAGCTCCTTATCATGTATCTCCTCCTAGATTTCCTGCAGACATCTCTAACCTAACATCCAAACAGAACCTTGAGTTCCCTCCCAACAGCCTGACACGTGGCACTACCATCCACCCCTTGCTCCCTGAAGGAGCCTGAGTCATTCTTGGTTCCTCTTTCCCCTTTCCTCCCTTCACCTCTATCTCTGATCATCTTGTCAGTTACACCATTAAAATATATGTTGAGGGCCCTCCCTCGTGGTGCAACCAGTTAAAGCACAGCACTATGAAGCAACGCAGCCACTGCAGCATGAATTTGATCCCCAGCCAGGGAGATGACCCACATGGTGCAGCAGACCTCACTTGACCCACCTGCTGCTCCCCTCAGTACATCTGCCTGTTCTGCTCCCCACTCTGTCTGTGGTGAATCCTTTCACACCTCCTGCATCTCTGGCTTGTACCCCAGTTCTGTATGCATAAATAAATTATATATATATATATGTATGTATATATTGCTTTTCTAGGCTATTAAAATGAACTCTTCACTAGTCTTCCCTTTTTATATCTGCCCTGCCATTATTTAGCAGGCAAAGTATATATTTTTTAAGTCATAAATATATACCCCCTTAACACTCTGTTGGCTTCTCTTTACACTTAGAACAAGATCTAACCCCTTTCCATTGCCAACGAAGCTCTTCACAGCTCAAGCCTGCTCCCATTCCCCTCACTGCCTATTCTCAGCTCCACCGTCCCACTCTCTTTCTTTAGCCCTCAGCTCAAATCTCACTTCTTTGACCACCCATACAAAAGTTAACCATCTCCCCATCATTATCACACATCCCCTTTGTATTTTTCCATAGCATGTTTTGCTTTGCAAAATGACCTTGCTTATCTACTGCCCTGTACAGTCTACAATGTGTAAGTTCTCCTGAAGGCAGGTCTTCATCTTGTTCCCTAAATTCCTGGTGCAATAGCATGTTACTCAATAGGAACTTTATAATAATATGTTAAATGAATAGAAAATACATAATTAATAGTACCCAAAAGAGAGAATTTTGCCTTAGAAATATATCTACTCAGATTATCAAATACTTCCAGGCACTAGAGAGCTATGTTACAAGGTGTCAATGTCAACATTTCCTCTTGTGATTTGGTCTCTGCACCAGCACTGGAGAGACAACATCTTGATACTGTTTCCATACAATGGAATAGGTACTTTTTTTACCTTCTCCCTGGTTGAATGAAAGATTGGAGACCCATGGCATTAATGTTAACTAAAGGAGAGTTTGATTGCTATCTCTCTCTTGCAGGGTAATGATGAGAGAGTTCAGGGAGGGGATGTGTCTAAAAGTGCAGCAGAACAGAGACAAAACTGAGGTGCTTTTATCAGTGTTCTGACTTGGTCTAACTCAGGACTGAATCCGATCCTGTAACAATTTTTGTCAATAAACTCTACCCTGGTATCAAAGGATCATTTTTTTTTCTTTAAGGTGCATTATTCCTCAAAATGTTAAATTTTAAAAATAGACAAATTGTAATACATAAGCCTGCTGTTTTGGTCTTTGTGCAAAAAATTAGTAAGTGTTTTAGCTTGTTGAACTAGCTATTCCGTTAGTTGACGAGGTAAAAGCCTATTCCTATTTAAAAATACAGCATGAAACAAAGTGTGCTAAATATATACTGGAATGTATTTGTATTCCAGCAAAACACGATTATTAGTATTTCCACGGAGTAGGTTACTATAAATGTTTTATGTAAATATTAATACCATATAACATAATACATTGTATGTATGTGTTAAATTATGACAGTATGTTACTGATTTACACTTGGCAATAGTAATAAAAATAAATACTAAAATAGAGAACTTTCTAAGGTTTGAGCTTTGTGAATATTCCACTGTGTTGGTTTATTATTAACATGCAGATTAAAACATTTAGCAAATTATTTCATATACCATTTCCCTCTGAAACTGTTTTTATCACATACATTTTACAAGAAAATTTGAGGGAAAAAGAAAAGGTGTTCTTAAAAAAATTAGCCTGCCTGGTTTTTTTTTGTTTTTAAATAGCCAACATGTTTCCTATTAATTCTCTGTGAGGCTACCCTGGAGGCCTAGCAAAGAGCAGACATTTGCTGGCTTCTGTTCTATCTGCCAGCCTCCCCTGGGCTGCCTTTCCCTCTTCTCTGTTGCCTGTTGTTTTCCTGTGGAGGCAGAGGAAATGTGTGACCCTAGAAATCTCTAGCCTCTGAAGGGGATGTTAGGAATGTGCACTAGTCTTAGAGTTAAATAATTTGGATTATGAACTTGAAAATACAGGCAATTCAAAAATTAAATACCAGTTTTTGTTTGTTTGTTTGTTTTTTAAGATTTATTTATTTATTCATACAGAGCTGGGGTATAGGCCAGAGATGCGGATGGTGAAAGGATTCACCAGGGACAGAGTGGGGAGCAGAACAGGCAGATCAACGAAGTACACTGCTGAGGGGAGCAGCGGGAGGGTCAGGAGAGGTCTGCCATGCCACGTGGATTTCCTCCAGGGCAGGCGGGCAGGCAGGGATCGAACTCATGAGGAAGTGGCTTAATCTTCTTAGTGCAGAGCTTTAACCCGCTGCGCCGCCAGGGAGGGCCAAATACCAGTTTTTTAAAAACTCAAAATCAGGCTCTCCCTGGTGGCGCAGCAGGTTAAAGTACACCGCTGTTAAGCTAGCTGCAGCGGCTTTAACACAAGTTAAATGCCCCACGTGGCACACCAGACCTCTCCTGTCTTGCCCACTGTCCCCCTCAGCAATGTACTTTATCAGTTTGTCTGTTCTGCTCCCCACTCTGTCTCTGGTGAATCCTCTCACCCTGGCCTCTGGCCTGCATCCCAGTTTGTATGTCTAAATAAATAAATATTTAAAAAGCAAACAAACAAAAACACTCACAAAACAATACATCAGATTTAAAAAAACCAAACACAACTCAAAACCATGGGCCTCCTCACTCTGTCTCTAGTGAATCCTCTCACCCTGCACCTCTGGTCTGCACCCCAGTTCTAATATGCATTTTTAAAAAATCTTAAAAACAGAAACTGAAAACCATCTTTTGTCTTTTACAGAAGTCTTAAGGTATCTATGGATCTATGTAGCCTTTTGTTTTTGAAAAAACATTTGGAAACACCTACACAGGTGAACAGAAACTGTCAAAGAAAGGGAGATATTTCAAATGTCTAATTTCTAAATTCATGTAAACTTGTCCTGCTTTAATCAAGTGGAGATCAGACTCTCAAAAATACCAAAAGTTGTCAATAGTAGCAAAAGTATAAGACTTAAACATGTGCAAATTTCCTCTCCTCTCATTTTGAATTAAAATGGCTATGAAAATGTAAATCTGTGGGAATGTGTATATATGTATGTGCGTGCCTGGTTCTATACACAGACATATATACTTTTCACTTAAAGCCAGTGTAGTCACCTTAAAATATCAGCCTTTGGGCATTAACTCCAATGTGTTTTGAAATAAGGAAACCATTAAGACTGATGATTAATTTATGGTAAAATTTTATGATATTTAGTTAAGTTCACATGTGTTCAGCATATGATATAGACATTAGAATCAAAGCTTCTATGTTTCAAGATATAAAAAAAGTAATTCCTGATATCATGATTTTTTTTCCAAGTGGAAGAAATCCATATATCAGTGGTTTTGATACTTTTATGTACAATTACCTTGAATTTAATACAAATTTTGATGAGGGCTTCTGAGAAATTTTTAAAACCCCTGTATAAACTAGAGCTTCCACATAGATAATCAGTATGTTTTAAAATTCGCGCCTTGAGGTCCAGACCCCCAGACCCAAAATCCTGGCTCATTGCCTGCATAGGCAATCTCGCACTGCTTGCCTTTCTCTATTAGATCTCTGGAAACTAGAAGGACCCTTGGTTACTTGGGGGACAATCATGCAAGTCTCATGTCCCTTTGAGAAGTCCAGATAACTACTTGCTCCTTATTTTCACCACTGATGCATGCTTGTGCAGCAGAGGTAGCCCAAGGACCGATTCCCTGATATGTCTGGAACTGTAAGAGTTTGTTCTTGTCTTCCTGAAAAGGAATCTGAGGAGTGACTCTCCTGTGTGCCATAAAGACAGGTGCCTCCTGCCTCACACCTATCTTAGATCTTTCTGTCCCCTCCAGTCAGACAGAGAAAGCTACAGCTTTCACCAGAGCTTTGGAGTCATTGAACTTAGGCCAATCTATACTTTGAGGGGAATCTAACATGACTTTTAGGGTCCTCCGGGGACCACTTTAACCATCAAGTGTTGGAAAATATCTATAAGCAAAGCAGACTTGGTGAGTTTTGCTATTATTACAGTATATTACCCAAGTACTATTTATTATATGTTATAAAGTACCTAAATTATACATTATATGCTACCTAAGTATTGCCAGATTTTTTTAATAGCACCGTTGATTTAGACATAAGCAAATCAAGAATAAGAAATATTGAACAACTTGCCTCCTTGCAACATAAACAATGTTGATATGATACTGTGTTTATGTGTAAGAGGGAGAATATGAATATGAATGAAAGATCAAATAGATGAATAAATCAGAGCAAAAGAATGACTTGGTCTGACCCACAGATGCTCAGTGTTCAA